ACACACCTTGGGAGTCTGAGGCAGGAAGACTGCCCTGAGTTCAAGACCAGCCAGGGCTACATAGTGAGTTCAAGACCAGCCAGGGCTACATAGTGAGAGCCTGTCTCAGACAGACAGACAGACAGACAGACAGACAGAGAGAAAGACAGAGAGACAGAGAGAGAATGAGAGGGAGGGATGGAAGGAGGGAGACAGAGGAGAGGGAGAGAGAAAGAGAAACAAAGAAAAAGAAAGACAATAAAAGCCGGGGGGTGTGCGCACCCATAACCCCAGCACTTGGGAGGCTGAGGCAGGAGGATCACCAGGAGTTCAAGGCTAGCCTGGGCTATATAGTGAGTTTCAGAGCAGCCTAAATGACAGAGTGAGACCCTATCTCAAAAAGCAAAAAAGCAAGCAAGAAAGCAAGCAGGCAAGGAAGGAAAACAAGTGTTCTTCCTCAAAAGGTCAACATGGCACTTTTATAACTGTCTATATACTTCTACACATTTCCTGCCCCACCCCTTGTGTGGTACTGGGGACTGAACCTCACACATCCTAAGCAAGCACTCTACATTGACCTACATCTCCAGCCCTTTCTACTGGGGTGGGTGTACCCCCACCCAATAAAAGTCTGAATTACAGAGTGAGATCCTGTCTTTAAGAATCTGGAGGAAAAAAAAAAGTCTAGATACAAACAAGCTTAGTGAACATTCTGACACCAATGATGCATGGGGGTGAGGGGAAGAGGATAAGGTCTCATTAAATTATCCAGGTTGACCTCAAAATTATGATCCTCCTCCTCAGGCTCCAGAATAACTGGAATTATGGGTATATACCACCACATACCTAACTTCTGCCACTATTATTTTTACCTGTTGGTCTATTTGGTATAATTAACTCTTTTAATTAGTATCCTCTCAATAGCATACTTCCACCCAAATAAGATGTCTCAATACTGCCAAAATATGCCCCATGCTCACTCACCTTCTACCTATTCCCACTGATACTCCTAACCTTGAAGGCCTTTTTCAAATGCCACTATTGTCACACATTTTCTCTAGTCATTGCCAATACATGATACTTCTGTCTAGTATTGTAGGCTCCTTAATAGAGCTATAAACTGTGACTTCACTGCAGGTAAGATTTACATTTAATCCACTTCAACTCTTCCACCTGTTTCCAGTGAAAGTTCAGGTATTTCAACACAACCAAATTTACCCTTTTTTTCCTAACATGACCTAAAATTTGGGCACAATTTAATACTGAACTGGTCCCAACCCCAAAAATGATCCCTTTGAAATAAGTTCACCAACCTGCAATATTTTAAAAGCTGTCTTAAAAAAAAGCCATACCCTTTCATCTGCTAAACACACTTAAATAACACCCAGAAGACATAGGGGTGGGGGCACTGACTGAAATAGCAGCAAATATTTAGAAGCAATTTCTCATAGTAGAGCTTAAAACTGCAAGAAAAAGAAAAAAATAGCTCAAAGAATGCCTAATGACAAGAAGAATTTTGGCACAAGAAAGTATACAGAATACATTCTAACCATTAAAGCCACAACATGGGCTTTAAACCCAGGATCCTGGCACTGAGCTACATCCCCAGCCCTTTATTTCTGAGACAGATTTTTCACAACTTAAGTCATTAAGTTGTCCAGGTTCAAACTTGTGATCCTCCTGCCTCAGCCTCCCAGAGTGCTGAGGTTAATATACCTTCATGCCCGACTAACTAAAAATATTAATTACAATCCAACTTCTGAGTTAAAAAGTCTAGATACAGTCTGGCATGGTGGTGCATGCCTGTAATCCCAGCACTCAGGAGGCTGAGGCAGAAAGATAGTTGTGAGCTAAGGTCATTCTGGGCTACACAGTGACACAACGAGCTCAAGGCCAGTCTGAATTACAGAGTGAGATCCTGCGTTTAAGAATCTGGAGAAAAAAAAGAAGTCTAGATACAAACAAGCTTAGTGAACATTCTAACACCAATGACGCACAACTAGAGGCCCATAAAAGAAGCAGCACTTACAGTGGCATTATTTTTAATATTTGAAAAAGCTATGTTCAGATGTATATGAAAATATTATATAAATTTAACTGAAAGTTCAGATTTCTTTTATTAACATGAGAGAAAAAAACAGCAATTTTTCTGCATAGACAAATTAAGAGAAATGTCAAATCTAGAACAGGATCAGAAAAGCAAGATGAATAAAGCCAGACATGATTTTCAAAATAATTAATAATCTGTCCAGTGTGAGCAACAAACAATCCAAACAAATTCTGGCCATAAATACATGGGCTATAGGATGGATATAAACCCTGGTTAGAGCCCTACCTAAGGAACTTCCTTTCCATGTTGAAATTGAACCTTGCCTGCAGTGGAGCAGTAAGCTACAGCTGTATCAGTTACACACACATTTACCATACAGTTGTGATAAACACAAATACATCCTCCACTTGACATGGCTATTAACTACTGGATCACTACAGCTGCAACTGATCATCCTAGCATCTACCATTAGAAGAGGCAAAGAACCCTCTCTTAAGCAAACAGCATGGTAAAGTAGAAAAAAATTCTTGACTGTAGAAAGACCTAAAAAAAAAAGGTGATTATAATTAAAATACCTGGCACTAATAACTGAGAATGTTAATGCCTTTCAAATTACTACTATAGGTCATAACTTTTCTGGCAAAAGAACATAAAAGACAGCTGGGCATGGAGGAATATGCCTGTAATTTCAGCACTCAGGAGGCTGAGGTAGGAGGATTGCTGAGTTTGAGGCCAGCTTGGGCTACATGGTACAATCAAGGCCAGCCTAAACTACATAGCAAGACTTGTCTAAAAAAAAAAAAAAGAATGCAAAAATAGATAAAGCCCAGTGTGATGCCCCATGCCTGTAATACCAGCACTCTAGGGGGCTGACACAGGACTGCCAAATTCAAGGCCAGCCTCAGCATTTTAGCAAGACCTTATTTCAAAATAAAAAATTTCGGGGCTGGGGATTTAGCTCAGCGGCAAAGCACTTGCCTGGCAAGCGCAAGGTCGTGAGTTTGGTTCCCCGTACCGGAGAAAAACAAAAAAACCAAAAAAAAAAAAAACAAAAAACAAAATAAAAAATAAAAAATTTCAAAAGGCTGGAGATGCACATCAGTACAAAGGACCTGAGCTTAATCCTCAGTACAGAGTCAGAGACAGACATACAGACAGAGAGAAAGAGAGAGAGAGAGAGAGAGAGAGAGAGAGAGAGAGAGATGTGGCAGCACATGTCTGCTATCCCAGCTTAGACACTGAGGTAGAAGAGTGTAAATTTGAGGCCTGCGTGCAGAACTTTGCAAGACCTTGTCTCAAAATTAAAAAACAAAAGAGGGGGCTGGGGATGTAGCTTAGTGGTAGAGCACTTGCCTTGCATGCACAAGGCCCTGGGTTCCATTCCTGGTTGCATGCACGCATACACATGCACACGAAGAATATCAAAGATAGTCCTGTATGATTCCTGTGATTATTTTAGAACCCCCTTCATAAACCTAAACACACTTAAAGGAAGGGAAGGAGTTGGGCATGGTGGTGCACCCCTGTAACCCAGCACTGAGGAGGCTGTGACAGGAGAAGCACGGCAAGCTCAAGGCCAGCCTGAACTACATAGTGAGACACTGTCTCCAAACACCACCCCTGACAAAAAGTATTAAGGAAGGGAAGGAGAGAACTCTTAAACAGGAAATGGAAAAGCCTGAGTCCTGACCTGATTTAACACAAATGGCCAGGCTTGGTGGCACACTCCTGTACTGCCATCAATTGAGACTGAGTGAAGGGGATTACAAACTGAAATCCCACCAAGGCAACTTGACAAGTGTTTCCTAAAAAGGGCTGGTGATGTAGACTTTATAGCGCACCCCCGGGTTTGATCCCCAGTACTGGAAAAAAAATGCACTTCTTTCTTTCTGCCTGCATCTCCACCTGCCTGTAAAGCACCTGCTGACATCTAGTTTCCTCTCTTACCATTCCTCTCCCCCTCTGCACTTCCCCAAATAGGGCATCCTTTTTTCATGCCTTCATTCTTTTGTAGATGCTCTTCTCTGCCTGATTAGGCAATCTACATTTATCCCCTGATAAATCAAAAATCCATGGTATTCCAACAATACTGTTGTTTCCCCATCCCCAAGTTCTTCTAGAACTCTTCCGTAGGAGCTATTTTCAAAGCCATTTACTAGTCATAAAACAAATTTGGTCCTTTAAATATAGTTCACACAGTATGACTTTCAGTTACCTCACAACCTTTGTTTATAGAACTGAATTCTACTCTATGGGTAGCCTAACGATACTTAAAACAGGTGCATCTAATCCCTCAACTAAGTCATACTTTGTGTAAGTTAAACTTGCAGCCAACTAAAAGTTGTCTTTTTAAAAATCTTGTAGAACTTATTTCAGTCATCAAAAGAATGCAGCCAACCCAATCTATAATGATTAATATCCGATATACATCTCTACCTAAAACGGCTGTTTTTAGCCTAAATCTTTAAATTTCATTAGACACACCTTTGAATTTTTGTACCCTAATACACAGGGTAAGTTAATTTATTCTTGTGGCCATGTAGTAATGAGAATTATGTTCACTGGCTAGATTTCTTTATAACAAAAGCCTCTCAATTCTCGGGTTGTCCGGTCTACCTTGAGACCACACTTTAATATAGGTATGTAAGTGAATCAAGGTATAGGGGAGGGAGATAACCTAGAATAATAAAATATGCTGTATGAATATTCGACAGATTTTTTTCAGCACTGACACAATCACTAGATAAGACACTGACAGTTAAGTGCCAAAGTGTTCTCTCACTGCTGTCTTTTCTGGCAGAAACAAAGATCTTCCCCAAAAATCTGAAATGAATTCAGTTAAATTTTATCTTCGGGTCCCACTACCAAATTATAGAACGGAAAAAAATATAAAGTACCACTATCAAAATTACAGGAAAGTTAAGGGAGCCTTGAGAAAATCATAGTGCCACATACAATAATACACAATTAGTCATTTCTCACTCACTGTCAATTATTTTCATAGGATTCGCAGGAAAAAAAGTAAATACACATATGACCCTCAAACCCCACACAAAAAAAGCTGGTCTTTGTTTATTCTCAAGAAAAGACGTCCCAAGAGTGACAAAAAGTGGGAGTCAGTCCCCTCACTGCCATTTCTTCATCCCATCAACAGCTCTTCTTTTCTTCAACTACCTTCCTTTTCCGAAGAGGTAATGCTGAGATCAGTCAGAAAGGCTTTCTGAGAAAGCTGGCTTGGACTTCTGGGTCTGCTCCAGTCTGTTCAAGATGAACTGGCTTGTATCGATGAAACGCTCAACGCAGTTCACAAAGCAGGCCTCGGCCCGACTGTCCAATTTTGGCCCCGGCTTGTCCATGCACTTCTCCCAACAAAGTTCAGTCATCTGGTGCACCAGCTGCTGGAAACGCTGCTTCTGAGTCTCCACCTCGATGAAATGCTGCAACTGCGGGTCCACTGCGCCCAGACCCGCCGCAGAAGACGAGGAGGAGGAATCCATCCCAGAGCAACCACGCTTGTCTAGACGGCAGCCTAGACACACACCGCACCAACTCACCGACCTTCACTTCACATGTGTCCGCACCGGAACCGGAACCACAACCCGCCCCCTTGGGACCGCCCTGTGAGCTCACTGCGCCTGCGCCAGGCAGTTGCCGAAGCCCGCCCCCTGCCCCGTGCCCTGCGCGTGTGAGCTCAAGCTCACTGAACCGGAGGCTGCGTTTCTGGCTGGCTGGACTCTCCGCGGCCAATAGCAGCGCCTTACCTGCACCCTGAACCTAAATGTCTAGTTTTTTTAAAGTAAGTTTTGTGACTAGCACAACTCCTTCCTGTACCTCTAATTCTGCATCACCTGTTAGGAGCTCAAGTTTCTTATCCTCAAGTATACCCTAATTATTCTCATCAAAATATCCTGCAATTCAAAAAAAGGATGCTAAAAGTATTCCCTGGTTCTACCGGTACTCACCTTAATGAAGAAGATGTGGTTAGCCTGACTGCAGTGCGCCATGTTGGCTCTTAATATTATGGTTTTTTTTTCTAAGCCCTCATACAACACCCCTAAGGGTTTTTTTCTTGCAATTTTATAACTTTGACAATCAGTTCTCATCCCCACTGACAAATCTGGCAAGTGTAATTGGGTACATAGGTAAATACTACTTGTTTGGTGAATCTTCATCGCTGTGTTTTCTGGGAAACTACATGCACACATAGGGCATTCCTTACTCCTTCCGCCCAGACTGCTCTGTTCAGCCTGGCCTCAAGGCGCAACCCGTTCTTTGTGTCAAATTTCCAGGATCTTGAGTGCCCAAGGGACACATATGAAGCGAACTCTATGAATGAATGTGGGCACATTCATGGCATATCCTCAGTCACCACCTCATTGACAGCAGAACTGCCTGTATTGGTCAGCTTTCTGTTGCAATGACAAAATACCTAACGTGAACAATTGAAAGGAGCAAAGGATTACTGTAGGTCAAGATTTCAGAGATGTCAGTCTATGAACAGCTGGCCCCAAGGCTTTCAGGGCTATGGTGAAGCAGAAACCATGGCAGAAAGGCATGGTGAGGAAAAGCTCCTCACCTCATGGCAGCAAGGAATGCCAGAGAAAAAGGAGCTGGGGATGGAATATAATCCCTACAGTCAAGCCTCCATGACCCGGTCCCTTCAACTAGATCCCCCTCCTGTTTCCATCACCATTAATTATGATCTCATCAACAGTTTCATCCATGGATAAAGTTAGGGCCCTCTCAATCTAATCACTTCTCAACAGCACACCAGCAACCAAGCCTTTAACACAATGAGCCTTATGGAGAACATATACCCAAAGTGTAACACAGCCTTTCTCACCAGTCTTCTTTGGAGCAGCCACTGTGCAGGGCCCACATGGGGCAGGAAGAAAGCAAGGGATTCTACTCTAATTATTTTTTTCCAGTACTAGAGACTGAACCAGATCTTCACACTGTGCTACATCCACAGCCCCCTCCCCCCAGCCCCCCCCTAGTCAGTCTCACTAAGTGAGGCTAAATTGCTCAGGCTGAGCTTGAACTTCTAACCTCCTGCCCCACCCTCCCTGGGATTACAAGCAAACACCACCACACCCTCGTTTTGTTTTTGCTGTTTTGCTTTTTTGCATTATGGGAGAGGGAGATCAAACACAAGGCTTTGAGCATGGTATGCAAGTGTTCTACCACTGAGCTACATTCCCAGCCTCCATTCTAAATTCTGACTAGGACTATATCAAGCTCTTACCTTTTTTCTGCTTTCAAAAATACATCTATTGCAGTAACTTTATGATCCCTTAAAGATTATTGAAAGTGACTGAATGACCTCATCCCCAAATTCTTTGGAATTCTTCAGTTGTAATTTGTCTGGGCCAGGAGACTTTAATTCATTTATAGCAAGTAGTTTTCTGTATAGATGGCTAAAGATCAGTTGTAATGTCTTCTTACCAATGCCGTTCTATCTTTCCCAGTCTATATATAATTAACATTGAGAATGGGAGAAAAAACTTATGAGGCTATCTTACTCTTCAGTTTATTTTTTCAAATGTAGTTATTTTCAATTTCACATTTAGAGTATCATCTAGAGTAAAATACACTTCTTCCAGAAATATTTAGCATAATAGAGGTTTTGTTAGGTTCTTCAAAATAAAGCCATGAACATGTTAGAGAAAGCAAATAAGTTAATTATAACAGAATTCTTCTAAAACCAAACCAGCCAATCTACTATAAAATAAGCTAAAGAATTTTGATTCTCAGGATGAAAAAAAACCTCTGAAAATTATCCCATATTTGCTGCCATAGAGAAAAAGATGTGCCAAGCCAAAAAATTTAGTTCTTCAACGTGAAAATTTTCTCACAATTCATCAACATATCAACACATATTTACTTAATGTGCAAAAACAATTAAAACAATTCACCTAAAAGCTCATATCATGCTCATACCCTTTCAATCAATTCAAGCCATAAAAATAAGCAGTGAGCATGTTGGTGCACACCTGAGATCCTACCACTCAGGCAGCTGAGGCAGGAAGACCGCTGAGAACTGAAGGCCAGTCTTAGGTACACAGTAAATTCAAGCCTAGTCTAGAATACAGAGTGGGCCCCTGTCTCAAAAATAAATGAATGAAGCTGGGCATGATGACATATGCCTGTAATCCCAGCACTTAGGAGGCTGAGGCAGGAGAATCACCTTAAGTTCAAGGCCAGCCTGGGCCACAAAAGCCAGTTTAAGGCCAACCTGCACTATACAGCAAGACCCTGTCTCAAAAAACAAACAAAAATAAATGAATGAATGAATGCAGTGGTATTTTTCTCAACTTAGCCACTATGAGATTTATAAAGATTTTATCTCTCCCACATTCAGCCATTTTGCTACACTATATATTTGATCAATTCATGCATTTTTATTCAGTTCCTACTGTGCTAAAAAAATCTGTGCTAAGTGCTGTGGAGACATACAAACATCATTAAAAATCAACCCCTTAGGGAATCCATAAACATAGATCCATAAGGTTGTACCTCCTCCTGCAAGCAAAGAACACCCTCCAATCCAGAGGGGTCTCTTATCCAGATACAGCTGGGAAGATACTACAATATATCTTATGACATATGCATAATAGTAGAAGAAAAAGATATGTTTAAAGATAGGCAAAATTAAATTGAAATACTTGTTCCATGTTTTATTCATTTTTAAGTAACCTGTCCATGGTCTCTGTAATAAATGTGTATTTGGCCTTTGGTTTCCAGAAGCACCTACAGGACTGACTTTTATATGCTAATGAGATGACTGGTGACCAGGGCCATGAGATAGTCTCAGGATAGAAGTTACTGACCAGAAAGACTAAGGATGACTCAAAAAATGAAAGTTTCGGCCCCCCAACACTACAGGCAGAGAAGACCAAGAGATTCAAGACTAAGTTAATCACTGATAAGTAATGACTTCATCAATCAGATCTCATAGTAATGAAACACAAACACACACACACACACACTACACCCAAGCAAGAAAACTGAAAGAGGCTCTGAGCTGTTGAACACATTGAAGCACTGGAGAGTGGCCCACCCAAGAGGGTACGGAGCTCAACACATTTTGGCTGTTTCTGAGTTGTATCATTTATAATAAATGGGTAACAGTAAAGCATTTTCCTGATTTCTCTGAGCCATTCTAGCAAATTACTGAACCTGAGGAAGGAGTTGTGGAAACCCCCGTTATAGACAGCTGGTTGGTCAGAAGTATAGATGGCAACCTGAGACTTCTGATTAGCACCTAAAATGGAGGGACATTTTCTAGGACTGAGTCCTTAACCTGGGGGGGCTGCACAAACTCTCGGTTATTAGTGCCAGAAGTGAATGAAACTGTGGATGCCCAACGGATGCCCAGTGATATGGAGAATTGGCTCATATGTGTGGCTCAACCACACACACATTTGTGAGAAGTATTATATAGAGAAACACTTACAAAGTGCCTCTCTCCTATAAATGTGTTTCTTCATCTGCACTGTGGAGATAAGTACCTACCTTACCAAGCCTATTGAGGGGACTAAGTGAATTAGCATATGTAAAGCATATGGAACATACTTGCATGGAGCACAAGATACTCTACAAATATTAGCTCCTTCCTTTCCAAGTGGACTGCCACACATGCAAGAGTCATCTCCAAACCTTTAGTCCCTGAATACAAGATACAGAAATGTCCTGGAAGTTCCCAATACTTCCCAAGAAAGAAGTCTCTACTGCATGAAATGGCAGCATTCACAGAATGTTTTCCAAAGGAAAGAGCACAGCAGCAAACAATGTATCCCCCAAACACTGACATGTCTCTTGGCCCACAGCTTACAAGGAACTGCCCAGTATCCTCTTCTTCCCAATAGCACACACAGAGGTTTAAAAGTCTGGATGCCAGCAGGCAAGGTTACCCAAGTCTGTCCTCCCAGCTACTAGGATGTCTGAAACAGAAGGATCAGAAGTTCAAGGCCAGCCTGGTCAACTTAGCAAGTGCTTATCTCAAAAATACAACTTAAAGTCAGGCATGGTGGTATACTCCTATAATCCCAGCACTTGGAAGCCTGAGGAGGGAGGATCACCATGGGTTCAAGGCCAGCCTAGGCTACACACTGAGTTCAAAGCCAGCCTGAACTACATAGCAAGGCCCTGTTTCAAAAACCAAAACAAACAAAAACTACAATTTAAAAAGGGATGGGGATGTAGGTCAGTGATAGGGGCACTTATCTAGCATGTGCAAGGCCTTAAATTCAATCTTGAACACCATAAAAAGAAAAAAGAGAATTTGAGTGCTTCTTATTAATTTAACTTCAACAACAGAAGAGAAAGTTTCCTTTATCCATAAGACTTTTTATAGTAATAAACTCTTCTTTTACAAAATTTTCTAACCACTAAAATTTCACAAATTGTACTATATCAAAGCACAAAGACTAGCATTCGTTTCACAAAATGTGCATTAAAAGCACTGTACTGGTCATATCAAAGACTTCTTGTACTCCAAGTCCAGCTGTGAGCAATGGAAATGCTCTTTCACTCTGTAGAATATAAAAAATAGCCAAAAAAAAGCATGGAGATACTTTTTTTTTAAAAGCCAGTAGTAATGTTACAAG